GTACCACCACTTGCAGTTCCGTCCCCGTGCACTTTTGTGCGGAGAAAATGGTACGCTACTGCAGCTGCGGACCCATTCCCCTCCCACAGGCAAGAATCGTCCTCGGTGGTGAGCGAACAGTTTGCCTTTGAGCAAGTTCCGCTCGTTTGAAGCTTTCACTGCCAGCTATGAAAGGGATCAAACCAAGGAATTGAACTGAGCTGCTTAATGGTGTGATTTTAGCTCCTTGTCAATTATTCGATTTTAGTCTAATTGCAAAGGCCTTAGTATGCATGTTCGATACGTTCAATGACAGTGCGATATTTAATTTTCTAAGACTGTGTTCATACATTGCGTCTGCGTTTTGAGCGATTAGGAAAGTATACGTCTCGATCTAGCGTTTTGAGCGTACGCCTCATTTTTGCGCCTCCGCGGGTAGTTCGTTTTTCTTCACTAGCACTCGCGCTGTGGCGCACGCTCTGAACGCTGGTGGCGCCCTAAACCTAAACCGATATCCATAGTTCTCGAGTCGCTCGAAACGCTCAAAATGCTGGTTCAAAGTGTGAATGAAACCTAATTATTTAATAATAAAACTATGTCAGATTCGCTATTTCCCTCAGACAAACAGTGTCTACCCCGGAGATATGAAGGGCTCAATGGTTGGGTGGAAAAGGATGAAAGCCATTTTATAGATCCACTATGTGGTAACTGCAAACCATTTGTAGGCTTAATTATCAAAATCAGCGGCTGACTTTGAGATATCACTGTAAGCCAAAGGCTGCGCAGAAGTGCCGCGCTGGCTTCGATTGCCATATTTCTTGCCCATTTTGTTAAAACATTCACTTCACAATAGGATGACTTTAGTGTTACATTCATGTCGAACTCATGTTGCTTGCTGCAGTCGTTTCTTACCTATACCCTAGATTAAAGGCAGTTGACACGATAAATCCTAGAATACGGTAAGATTAGTAAGCCTGGCAGGACGGAATGCCGCCATCCTGAGCAGGCGCTGCATAATGCATAATGCCTTTTCCAAGGGAGGTGCCCTTATAAGGGCCCTATCAAGCGAGAACATTCTGACCCAAACGCCCGCCCGCCCACAAATGGTGACCGTTCATGGCGCTTTAATCGATTCATTTGTTTAGCAAATTATGGAGCGAAGGGATTGGTGTGAAGCGGCCGTGATGCTGCATGGATATATGAGTACACATATGCAGCCGCACCTTCGGTAGCGGTCATTGGCAAGATGCCTACAGGAATCTTGTCCAAAATTGATTTCTAACACATTGAGAGAGGAAGCTCTTTCATCGCAGGATTTTGAGCGTTTCACTCCGTTGTTCCGCCGTTTCCCCACTATATAGCGCCCTTCTAGCATTTTATGCCAAGCCCAAATCATCGTACCAACTGCCTTTAATATCTCATTTCTGCTGATCGTGTCAGCTAAACCAGCTTTTCGGATCAGTAATATTTGGTGAGTTAAGTTCGCTTACCCATTGAAAAATGCAGCCCGACGCGATTGGCGCATAAACAAGAACCTCTTGTGTATTCCACAGATCAGCCACTTCAACTGAGGATGTCCACTCACTATCCGGTTCTTACGAAACTGCTGGTCAGCGATCGATGTTTCGATAAACGCCGTGGCGGCCTGTTCTGCCCTATATTATTTTGGCTGGTCGCTGCAAGATACGATAATTTCGGCCTTCGCCTTCCCATCAGTGGGGATGTTCACTTCTTTCGTTGAAATTGTAGTTGAATGATACTACGTGCCGGGAACGAATGGAAAAACTGTAACAGCGGCTGCGCGCTGCGGCGCCACTACAGCTTTGAGATGAAGGGTCGCGTAGGGATAGGAAAAATGGCAGAACGATTATTTTTTATCGTTATCAAACTTTAGAGTGCGTTCACATTCCGCGGCAGCGTTTTAAGCGACTTGGAACATATAGGTATCGATTCAGCATTTAGAGCGTCCATAGCGTTTTCACCGACTTAGTCTGAATAGGTATCTGTTGCGGTTAAAAATTTTGGCGTACTTTGAAGGTGTTATATCGATACCTTTACTTTCCTATACTTTCCTAGTCGCTCAAAACGCTTGGAACACTGAAAAAAGCTGAGGTGAAGTGTGAACGCGTCCCTAAGGAAGGGTGGTGAACAGTAGCGCCAGACAGAGACAACTTGAATACAGAGCGCTTCCTTCAGTGCAAACGAAATGCGAGACTAAAACTTCATCCTGTCACGGTCCGGAAAACCTACTGGAACGCTACCGCGACTCTGTATATTGCTGAGTACTTGGTGGTTTATAGCATATTGTTTTCACTACCTCATTGTCCAGTTACTTCAGCAAAGCTTATCCGACATCACAGTTCTAATATATCTCTTATGCTCCTCATAAATTCGACGATGAGTTCAATCAACGAAAATAAGTTCGTATGGAGCGTCCTTGATAAAAAAAGGAAAATTTTATAGCAGAGATTCTGGCACTGATCAAGGGCTAACCTCGCGATCAAATATTGCGGATAGTGGGTTCATTTACAAACTTATACTCGCTAAACGACTCTCTAGGGGAGAACAAAGCAAAAAAAAATCGTGGAGAACATTGTAACTAAGGACCTAACAACTTTCCTGGACGAGTTGTCCGGAACTGCTCATTTTTTGTCAACAAAGCGATGTTTTGTCGCTTCTGGCTCTCTAATCTTTTCTTTGCGTCATCCAAGACTCCAACTAAATAGCAAAGAAAAATCGAAAAACGAGTTCGTGGACAGAAAACAGCTTTTGAGTTTCGGTGGGCGGGACAACTGGGGGAGGCGTGAGAACTGCCACTTTTAAAGACCGTAGCGCCTTCGTTACATATTGTGAAAACGGGTTAATCTCCGGGACAGAGGACGAAACTATTTGTTTGAAGCAGTTGCAGATTCTTTGAGCGCGGAGAATGTCTTCAGTTCCCTTTTCCGATGCGCCACGCATACGACCCACTAAGAACCGCAGATTTTTGAATGCATTGTAACCCTCACGATGGCACAATGACTTGAGGCGGCGAGCCGATGTACAACGTAGTGTTTCCCATCTTGCATACGAATGTGGCTTCAATTCACCAGCTCCTGAGGCGAGCGAGGATTGGTTGGCCCGGGCGGTCTCAAGCTTCCGTCGTTATAAACAGCCCCGCTACACCATCTCCGCTTACAGTAATAATATGGCCTAATATATATCTGAGAGGAATTAAGGTAGACATTTTCAAGTTGATTTCAAATTTCTTTTGTACGTGTTCCCATCTGTTGAGTTTCCATTTTACACAGTTGAATGGAACTGATTTATTCCGAAAAACATTGTCGGTTTCAGCCACGCACCATGGTGTCCCGCTTGCAAGGACTTGCAAAAAGCATGGAACGCGTTTGCTGATTGGTCGAAAGATCTCAACATTAAAGTTGGTTTCCATGTAATGTTACTTTTGATTTCGGGCTGGAAAATTTATCAAAATTTCTCAGACCATTTTATGCCCCGGGAGGTTTTCTTTTCGCCGGGAGAGACGGTATGTTCTGGAGGGGAGGGGGGGGGGGACTGAGTGGTGCTGTGGTACACTCGCCCGATAGAGTAGAGACGGTGGAAGCGAGAGTCAAGAAGTTTGTAAAAGGATCACTCTAATTTAGGAACGGTAAAAACTTGGAAACAGTCATTTATGTATTGGAAGCGTATAGCAGAATCAGAAGCTGCAGCACGGCTAAAGTAAGGGTGAGAGTTAAGGCTAGGGCAGATGCAAAGGATGTGTGAGAGGGTTGAAATGTTACGATACAACTTCCAGAAAAATGGAGTTCTACGAGGTCATTTGGAGGTTGCCCAGTAATGAAGAATGATCAGGAGGCTCATAGAACAACATACCTTGGGGCGTTCATACTATGCATCAGCGTTTCGAGCATAGGCGGCATTTTGAGCGACTGCCCGCGAAAAGTTCAAAATAACACTAACGAATACGAAACGCTCAAAACGCTAAATTGATATCTATACTTTCCTGGCCGCTCAAAACACTGACGCAAAGTATGAACGCTCTTCCATTTCTGGCTGCCGCGTGGAACGAAAACAAGTTGTTTTTTTTCAGGTGGGAGAAGTCGACGTAACCGTCAATCCTGGTCTCTCTGGTCGCTTCCTTGTTACAGCTCTCCCCACAATCTATCAGTAAGACGCCATTTGTTTCTGTTTGATTAGGTATATTATAATTGTTCCAGTGTGAAGGACGGTGTGTTCCGTGTCTACACAGGCCCAAGGGACAAGAACGACTTCATAACTTTCATTGAGGACAAGAGATGGCGCAGTATCGATGCTGTTCCAGATTACAAGCATCCCAATAGCAAGCAGTTAGTGATCATTTGGCACTATTTACCCTTTACTGCCCCACCCATCCAGAATTGAGCCAGTTTCTAATCGACTTTGTTCTCCGTGAACAGATTTGGCCCAAATGTTGTCTCCTGGGGTATTTTGACCTCCTGAATACGAATATGACACTCGCTTAGCCCGAAACCTTTTGGCGCCCGTGCCACACGCGCTGGGGTATTTTGGCGCCAGCACCTGTAGCGCAGGCGGGGTTTTAGGCCGAGCGGATGTGATATTCGTGTTCATGAGGTCAGGCTACCACTGAGAACAAGTTTTCAGCGAATTTAGTAATATAAGGTATTTTGGCGCCGGCCCCAGGAGGTTTCGTGCCCAGCTGATGTGATATTCATGTTTAGGAGGTCAAACTACTCCAGGGTACAAATTTTCAGCCAATTCTGCCGAGACAAGAAAAAAAAACTCAAAAACTGGTCTGTTTTCGGAAGATTGGGGCAGTAAAGGGTAAATAGTGCCGATCATTTTTTTCTCTATAAGTACTTGAGATGGTGCTCCCTCTCCCATTTTTGATACTTTGCCAAACATATTCGATATATTTCGATTCCTTCGAGAAACTCCATAAAGGGTTAATGCTCTGAAAAAAGGGCAACTAGGTTTTGGGAAGAGCTCGTTGAAGCACAGTTTTTTAAAACAATAATTACACCAGGATGGCTGTCGTCGCTGTATTCTTCAAGTTGTCTATGGCAGTTCGTGACCTACACAACCACCTTGTGGAGGAGAAAGGCGTACCATCATGGGCATCGTATTCCTTGTTTGCTGGCGTCACTCTTGCTCTTGGTTGCATCCTTGGCTTTGTAAGTACTTCCTATTTAGGTTTTTCAGAGCTAAACACGACAGCTTTGAATTCGCCCAGTTAGTTAGCTCACTTATTATTCCAATTTTCCAGTTCATCGTTTTGATTATTGATCAAGTGTTTCCCACTGGAAAGAAAAACGCCGTTCAACCGAAGAAAGACAGCAAAAAAGATTCAAACGGTGGAACTAAAAAAGGTAGGGTGAATTTCCCTTTCTCACCTTCGTGATAGGTCGCGTTCATGCTTTGCGAATGAGGATATTAAGTTATTTGGGAGATTCGGGCAAGGAGAAATTGCGCGACGATGAGACTATAGGTATCGAGCGTTTGCGGAGAGTGAGCGATAATGCTAAACGGGAGGCTTAGAATTTCTGTCGATGCGCGCCAAAGGAGCTAATTGATATAGATTGGCAATTACGGAGACTGGGCGATCCGGTGATCTTCCAATGTGCCAGCTCGATATCCCCAACCGCCAGATTGATATGATCCTCCTTCCGGGTGTGAAGTGGCACATACACAGACACTATGGCACATACCCCATTCACGATTATGCCACAATTGTGTTTTTGGGAACCGAATTATGAACTGTTGGCGACGGCACCAACCATTTGGTATACTCGCTACGGTTATCCCTAACTAACTTCATCTGCCCAACCATTGCTCAGTTTCACTTACTTCCCATTTCCTGGAGTTTTTCGGTATGTTTTGAGGGTTTTATCCCGGGCACCGTTTACTTCGGCGAACGCCCTGCCCATCGCAGGTGTGCTTCATTCATTGCGGCGTCCGCCAACTGTTTGCCTATCGTTTCGCCAATTGCCGCTCTTTCGTGATCTTCTGGAACCGAACTACGAATTTTTAAAAGTTTTGTAGCGAGCACCGCCCACCTATAGCACGCCCAGTCCATCACGGTTGTGACTCCTCATTTCATCCGCCAACTAATGCTTATCGTTTCTGCTCTCCGGGATCTTCTAGAACCGAACTACGAATTTTTGAATGTGACTCACAACTGTGCGCATGCCCCGCCCACAGTGGGCGGAGCTTAGCTCAGTTCATGTGTGTTCCGTACATCTTGAACCCAACCCACCCTTGACCCGGCGCCTCCAACTGGTTCTTCAGGTGATTCCGAATTTCCGGACAGACAGACAAACAGACAAACAGACAAACAGACAGACGTTGCCGTTTATATATAGTAGGATAGTAGGATGCTCGTCACGCAGTCTCTCAGATCAACAAGTGTGTGTCCTCCGTCGCAAAGTATGAACTTGGCCATACCTTCCTTGTTTACTGACCTGTATTGGATATAAGCATTTGTGTTGAATACCCACCTTACAATGCCTTACAATAAGCTGCTACAGATTGCATAATATGTGAAAGCTTTCAGCGGAAGATACGAAGAAGAAAGAGAACAGCTCGCCGAAACCAGAAACGAAAAAGTCCAAGTAAACTAGACGGTGATCACTTCGTTCAGAATCTGTTTTGGGCCTTTCAGCGTTTGCTTTCCTGACTGTTTTTTTTTGCTCGCATAATTGAAGCTGAATTGATGTGATTTTAATGTTTCTGTCTCTATATTCCCTCGCTTAAGTCACTTATCGCTATGGGTTCCTTGATATGTAGCCTCGCCTAATGTTGAAAGGTAGAAACTCCTTTCATTCCTGAAAATATGGTGAAGGTTTGTCTGAAACTTCTGTATTGCGAAACATGCAGAGCCATTTTAATGGCGAGCTTGGCCGAATCGATGGCCACCACGCGTCACTCGGGAGCGCATTCCCGTTCTCCTTCGACGTTCCTTCTTGAATTTCCCTTGCCATCACAATGAATTCTCGCATTTCTCACAATCTCGTTTCAAATTTCTGTCTTTTCGTTGTATGTGTTACGAGTTCTAAAGTATTAAGATTATTTATTTTTTACAACAGTGTGGATTTACGCGTAAAAGGTTATATATATGAACACCTTCGTAATAAACGCATTCCCTCTCGCTATTCGATGGTTGTCGCCATATGGTTGTCTTTTCCTTCTTTTTCTTTGATATCGCTGACGTGTTAGTCGCAGGTGTTAGCTGTTCCGTACAACTAGTAGATGTGCCACAAGACAGTCGTAATATGTCGCGCTGGTGGGCAAGACAAGCGACAACGCCCCGACGGACGGGTTGCCCTTCTGACCAGTTGAACATGAGTGTCAAAGGGATGGGAAAACTTGGTTTCGCCCATCGTGGAGTCTTGACTCCGCCTGATTCCTGTATACATCGGAAATTCGTCGCGCAACGCCGCACGGCACGTCGCGTGCGACGAAGCAACAAATTACGATTGTCTTGTCCGTCCCACCAACTAGCCTGCCAGTTTTGCTGCAGTGGTACTCAAAAATGGATCACAGAATTGCAGGATTATTTCTCTAGTGGTGCATTCGTTATAGACAAGCATCGATTTATGCTTGAAGTATGCGAGGATACTCAGCTAGGTTAGGGAAGAGATTTGGAGAGGGTGGATATTTTAAACGTTCTGTGTCTCGGTGTATGATAATAATCATCGATAGAGCGATTTGCATTCTAGTTACACTTGAAATCCGTGAGATGTGATAGGCGTGGCTGCGTGCTTCAACTAAAGGTGGCGGTCGCGTGGGAGGATATTCAATTTGTCGTAGTTGTAGTAATGCCTCTTCCTACACTGAACGACATAGCAATTTTCCAAAACTGAAAGATCCCAGGTTCAACACATTCTGTGCCATGTTCCAATGCAACGCCAATGCGTCTCAAGGATAAAGAATGTATGCGAAATCAATTCGTTGAGTTCCGTGCTTCTATGAGCTGTTAGAGAGGTTTCGTTGGGTAGCCTTCGACCTTTTCTGGCTTTGCTAGGAGGCAGTCCGCCGGCCCTCCGAGCCAATCAATTTTAATTAAAATCCTCAAATGAAGTGGGGTCAATAGCGGCAGTCGACACTATGCTGGGATTGGAGGACGATTCATGGAAAACTGTGGATGGCAATTTCCTCTTAATCGTCCTCCATTCTTTTCAGGTGAAGGCTTCTCAAATTTCTTAACATAAAGAATTGCTTCGCTCAAAACTGTATTCTCGAGCGGTATCATCCATTTCCCCAAGAACGCCGATTAATTGGTTAGGGGTTGGTTCCCTAAGGGGGAGGTGGTGTTGGAACGGGGCGTGCAGCAGTTCCTAGTGTGGCTAGTTAACCAACTGTACGATGTAGGGTTGTGCACGACTTGATCTGAAAAGTTTACAATTTTCGAAAAGTATCTGTTTTGATTACAAAAAAAGGTCCGATTCAAAAAGTGCCGATTTGAAATGAAAATGGTACATCCTCTTCGACGAAATCTCATCTTCTCGCTGAAATGTACACTGAAAAATAACGAGTCCATTTCTTATTGTGTCCCACAATTTTCTCTTGCTTGCTTCTGTTCCAACTAGACCAAGGATGGGTTCCAGAATGAACTGGCGAAAGAGCCAGTGTGACCACAGTGCTGAATGCGCATGTATCTTGGGTAACTTCGCTTCCTCTTGATCAATTCTATCCTTGGAAAGCAGGATTTCGATGTCTGCATAACTCAGGAGTTGTTTAAAATTATGATGTTTTTACTTTAAGTGCCTGCCGCTCAAATGCTACGGGCGCAGCTTCAGAGAAGAACATTCGAATGAGACAATAATCTAACTTTTTTATCAAGGGCAAGTATCGTAGCCGCCCGACAAGGTGTAGCGCGCCCAAGCGTTCAAAATGGGGCCCAGTTATGCGGGCGTGAGATCGATGCATTCAAATGGTCGGCAAAGGAAAGGCTTGAATTGCACTTTAAAAGACTCGATTGATCTTTCTCAGCCACTCGTTTTTAAATTCAGCTTGGCCTTGTTCTCTCTTTTGTGCGTATCCCATCTCGTTAGCACTTGGTTTTGAGAGTAACGAAGTATACGCTTGGATCTGGTCTAGGAAGCACCATTTCCTGCGAGAATCTTTAACAATGGAAGCAGTTCCCTATCGTAGCCGTACGAATGTTTACTCAGCAGTTTTATAGTGAGAAGTGTGATTGAAGGCCTCTGCTTTGCAAATGCTGGTCGCTAAAAAACCTCACTTGGTTGAAAAGGAGATAGAAATATGTTCAGAATGCGCAGTTCCGAAAGGGCATTCAGTAAAACAAAGATGAAAACGTTCTTGCAACTTAGCGTATCGTCTCAGTTTGTCTGTCCATACCATTAGCCACTGTGCTACTTAAAAAAGAGGCGGCGCGCTTGGGCGACGGGGGGAGGGACGGAGAATTTTGCCCTTTTGCTACTCCCCATCGACGTATCAAGCCATCCAATGGGGACTTGTGAAATCTTGTGAAGCCAAGAAGTTTTACGAGCCAAAGTTCGCAGAGACCCCATGTGAACTCTTTTACAATAGTTGACAAGTCTCACCCTTCTGAAACTTGTGAACCGGAACTTTTGCAGTGGAACTGCGAAAGTATAAAGTGCTCCCCTTGCACCAGCTCCCTCGTTGCTGAACTGCGCTGACTCATCCTTATGTGTTATTTCAAAGCAATATAATATAGAACTCGCAGTATAAATGAGTGAAGGATAAGGAACAATCTCCAGCCGTTGATCAGTCTCTTTTTTAGAACGCGGCTGATTCTGTTCCCATTCAGAGTCAGGGTCGCTTTCTGAGTGCGGTTCGACGTATGCGATCACACGTGGTGCCACAGATGTACAACCCAGTATTTTTCCCCGAACGATCGTGATACCTCTCCTGGGGCAAAGTGCTGGTTCACGAGGAGGGTAGCCGATCCGGAATTGAACCAACAGATCACGCGCATGGTAAACGTGCCATTTTCCACTACCACCTTCCCCTCGATAGAACCGTCGGTGTAACAATGATTCAATGAAGAAAATTCCACAATTTAGACCTGCTCAGGTAAAGCTTCCCAAGGCTTATTGAATGTCTAACTTGGCAGGACAAACGTAAAAACCATAAGGCTGCAATGACTTATTTACGAAACAAAAACAGTTCATAGCTCGAATCTGCTTATTCAGTGCTTCGTCTTCAGCAGATCCTCGTGGCTTATAAAGGGTACGACTTGTTGTGTTACAATGTTATAGATCTTTTATTTTGATTTTGCTTTCCTTTACTATCTTCAGTCGTGAATTGGCATAAGCAAGCTCTGGATTCGTCGTTGCTATTGCATTTCACATGAGTCTCATTGCTTGTGTATATTAACTTTGTTATCAAATGATAGGCTGGCACTGGCGCATTTAGACCACTACCTTCTCTAAATTCACGTTTATATGTAGAGCCAGGAGATTTTTCTTCCATTTTCCTGCTATCCTCTATCATTGTCTGAACTTTTATATGAAGTCTTCGGTTTCGTTGTGTTCGAGTGCGTTCCGCATAGGAGATGTTTCATAATTAAATTTATTTCCAGGAGAAACCACGATGGCAAAAGTATGGCAAGCTCTTGAGTCCAATCCGGACGCAATAAACCCGGTAATCAATTTTGTCTTTAAAACCTAAGGGTCCAAGATCTCACCTTTTTGTGTTCAAGCTAATGACCAAAATTGGCGTTGAAAGCGTGGAATGTGTGGACATAATTTCATTCGATGATGATGCACTGGAGAATTTGCCTAAACCTCAATACGCAATGCTTCTCTGTCTTCCCGACTATAAAAAGGTTGGTTCATTGAATGAATTGGCCTCGGTATATAAGGAGGGACATTGTTCAAACATCATTTGACAAAGCAGAGTCACGGTGTCGAGCGGATATTATCTGGTTGCGAGGGTCCAAAGTTATTCCCTCCTTTCATCCCATGGTAGAGCATTTGAGGGGAGAAAAATAACTGAGAAGCAAGAGAGAGGAGGGAGAGAAAGGAGGAAGAAGGAAGAAAATGGAAGGAGGAGGGAAGCTTTGAGGTAGACAGACATTCTTCTGAGACCTTATCTTATGTAAGGCGTTTTGTGGCGCGTTCAAATTGCCATGTTGGCTCTAAAGTTTCTTCCGCGAAGCAATCACCTTGAGAGGTACATCACCGAGAAGTAAGTCCGTCTTTCTACATTATCTTTGCAGCATGTGTGGTTTTCCAGGGATGGTTTCGAATCGTGCGCCAAATCCGTTAGATCTTCTCAGTATTTGGATGCGGCTTTTGTTCCGACCCTTATTTTACTGATTTCTCTTTGCTGAAAATTTTGAGCCGCACGCTGGTGTCCCTGACTCCCTAACTAACTCTGTATACGTTCGCGGCGGCGTGACCCATGAGTACACGAAAAAACTCCGCTTTCAGCGAATCGTGTACTCCAGGGAGTACACGCGCCTATTCGCTGTTTTTTTTTGTTACCAGTGAGCATCAAAAAGGGCAAGAAAGCCGGTTCTTTACCGGAACTTAGATAAAACTTGTTGAAGGAAAAAATGTAAAAAAGAATGGCGGTAAACGGCTTTCGTGAATTTTTAGGCGTTTACGGTTCCGTCACGAGCGCGCAACTATGAACGGGATGACTGCCTAAGTAGATGTCGCTCGCCACGCGTCGCTCAACAAACGAGAGTTTTTGACGAAACGGCGCCGCCGCGAACGTATTAACTCAATAAAAAGCTATGCTCGTCAAAAAGATGTAGAGGCAATGACGCAATTCATGCAGTGTGGCCTAACTAAGCGTTTTTTTCAAATCAAACCAACTTCAGCCGTTCACTTTGATAAGAATTAGTTTTTAGGTCGACGAGTTAATGGCTCCAATTTATGAGAAGCTTCGTTCTGAAGGCACGGCTCCCCCTGAGAATGTGTTTTTCATGGAACAGAAGATCAGCAATGCTTGTGGAACATTTGCTTTATTCCACGCGCTAGCAAATATTGAGGATCAAGTCGATCTTGGTGTGGCGGTTTCCCCTGTATTTCATTACTTTCTTCTTTAGGCTTCTCGCTATCTCTTTCCGTTGCTATTTTCTGTTTGCTTATGGGCTTTAACCTAGGTTCTGGTTCGTTTCACAAATGGTTGGAGGCGGCAAAGGATCTAGGAATCGATCAGCGATCGGATCTTCTCGCTAACGGTTAGTTGTTTTTCGCCGTTCCAACAGTAATAATAAAGGCACTGGGCACGACTGCTGTAGGCGAGCGGTTGCGCCAATGTCATTGGTGGGGGGCTGCGAGAGGGCGATTGGGCACATCCCACTGAATAGTCCGCATGCGATTTCTTGTGATCTTGGCGTGCTAGATATCCTTTTCGTATGTCTTCACGCCTGCAAGATTGGATGTCTTTATTACTAGGCCTACGTTCCGGCCTTTCCGTCTTCGTCTTCGTCTGTGCCTGAAATGGACAAAAAACAGATGTAACTTGCCCGCTCAAGCAACTAAGCGAACCTCGAGACAATTTCCCTAGACTTGCAAAGCATCCAACGATATCATTCAATAGTATTATGGCTCACCTGATCAGCCACCGCTTTGCGGGGTCGACCACCCTGAGGAACACTTAATCGAGAAGTAACCGTTATTATTCACCCTTTGACCTCACGGTAGATCCAAACTTGCAGAGGTCGAGGAAGGGCGCCAGCTCGCGCGTCATGGCTTAACTTTTTTAGGCGCTTGAGCGGGCAAGTTACATCTGTGTTTGTTTTTTTTGTCCTTTTCAGTCTCAGACGAAGGCGAAGACGCCGAAACCCAGTAATAAAGCCATCCAATCTTGCACAGGCTCTAAGACATACGAGAAGGACATCCCACTGAGCTCTTCCATTAATGATGTTGGTGGCAACGCCCGCCCCCAAGAATCCTGCCGTCTGCTTTTGAATAGCGGTCAGGCTACGCGGTCATGCGTGTGAATGTTGACGCGAGTGCCCATTACTAGCAGAAACTGCGCCTCCCCGCCCCACCTTTCGTTGTCGTATCACCTATGCGTCGTTTCCAATTTCATTCAAATTCGATCAACTTGCGACTACTGCTCTTGATTCTAACTTGGCTCTCGGCGCTGTTCCACCCCTGGGCATCTACAGAACTCTTGTATAAACTGGTGCTAGACGGGGAGAGGATTTCTATTTGCCTGACTGAGTTAGGCAGTGAAACTTCGAGGTTGCCGATTTCTTTGGATAAAAGAGGATTTGCGCCACAGTGATTCCAATTTCACATATCGCTTTTACGCCATATCAGCACTTGGAAGCTATTTTCTCGCTTCAAACATTTTTTGGTTCCAAAGGCACTCCTTGTGAAAGTCGTTATGTTCAGATGAAGCTTTGGCTGCGGCACATGACGAAGCAGCTCGCCGTGGTGATTCACGTCAGCCTGAACAAGTAGAACACCACTTCATTTGTTATGTGAATAAGGACGGAACACTTTTTGAAATAGGTGGTAGCTTTAATTGATCGATTTTTGAAAATTTTCCTTTCAGCGACTCGTATTCAGATTCTCGCGCACCATTTCCTCGTGAACTGGGCTCGACTTCTGGCGACACGCTCGTTAAGGATGCTGGAGCTGCTTGCAAACATCTTATGGAAAAGCTAGACAATGTTTCATTTGCGGCTATGGCGCTTGTACCGAAACAGTGATCATAACGAATGAATGTGGCTTGCTCGCTTGTGCTCTTGCTCTTGCTTTTTTCATTGTTGTTTAATCGTTAGTTGTTAGGTGCGGCTGCTTTTTCTGTGGTGCATTGTTACTCCTATTCATTTTAATAACTCATTATTCTCATTCTTGTTATGTTGCATCTTTCCAGCTTTACATTCCCCTGTCTGTGATTTTGTACCAGTCAATTTTTCATCGCGGTGTCTTCTCTTACGGCTTTAATAAATCGCTTCGAACATATTTGGGACTGTCGTTTAACGTTCGTAATGGCATATTACCTGGATGATAGTCTAGCTGGCACCCGTCACAATACATTCTACTTCTTAGAAGGCACATTGCAATGGCTAAAGCTCAGTGGCATGCTCTCGAGTCCAATCCAGAAACTATCAATTCGGTTCGTTAATTTTTGTTCAAATGTTTTCAATTTCCAATTCAAGAAGGCTGTGGTATCCTGAAAACCAGTTTGTCTACTGAAACTTGCTGCGTTAGGAGGGGGCTTGCATGTACCATTATGTACAACAGAATGGTGTGCTCACTGCGTGGAATTTCATTCTTGATTGGACTGGGTATTCGATAATCGTTAGTGTTTTCATCAACATTTCAGACCTTTGTATTTTTTATGTGTAGGTGAGGGGAGGGCAGGGAGTGCATGAACTTTGTGGACGCCTTATCAAAGTTTGCCTCACCCAAGACGTCACACAGTGACAGTATACGTAGGAGACTGAGATTCTTCTGTAATTACCAATACCTCTGTTTCGAAGATCTTCACCCTTGCAAATACTAGCTTAAAAAAAGTCCTGCAACACTAAGAAGGTAATTTCTAACTGGATATTCCTTCAACAGTCGAACTTCAGTTATTTCAGTTACATAGGTTCCTTTGACACGTGTCCATCTGCTACCTGGATCTTTTCTCGTTGCTGTACTCTTAAAATTGAAGCGTCTACGATGAAAAAAATCTCGTTCTCATTCTCAACCTGAATAATCAGTTCATATTTTCCAACCAGTGCCGTAAGGAGGTGGTAGTCAAATGCGGTCAGGCTGGTGAGTAAGCTGCGAATTGTCATAGGTCCTAACCGAGGCCTTGAATTACTTTTCATATGCCATCTTCGCCACACTCCCCTGTCTGTGATTTTAGCCTTTTTGGGCGAAACTCAAATGTTACGACGCCCATCTTTTTAAGGCAAGTATTAGAAGATCTGGTCGTTACTCCCTATCTAGCCGCGCCATTTTCCAGTCCTACCCGCAACCACTTGAGACCTTTTCCCATGCACATCCTCTTTTGTCACTGCATACAGCTTTATTCATCGAGAAATCCGGTCGAAATTATGTGTGTAGCTCGCGCTGGGCAGCTTAGTTACCACCCACTTCGCTTGCCACAAAGTTCTTCCACTGAGAGATCCACCACAAATATCTTTCCTGACAACCGAGACTGAGTATGGACTGTGGAACGAATGCAGCTCAAACATGGGATGAATTCACGATGGTTGCGTAGGATTATGCGCCCAAGGCGTTGAGCAAGCCGATTTTTTGAAGTATTGCAGGACTTCCTTTCCAGTTCAGTTGAAAGATGATGCGAGGTGAATATCATTACGCGACGCATGAAAAAAACCGGGAAGAACTTGAGTGGGACCGAACCGAGTTTTGCCGCAGTTTTTCCTTGTGTCGTCTTTGCAACGTGTAGACGTGTACTATGCCGCTGCCAACGAATCGTTGGATCTTTGGCTTGCGACAAAAGAGAAACAGTTCTGACAGATGGTCGACCAGGATAGTTGGCTGTCACTGTAGTGCAGATTGCTGACAGCTTCAGCGATAAGTACTGCTGTCAGAATCAGGATTCTTCCGTGGAACTCAGGTTCTGCCAGCTGTGTAACACTTATCGTGGGGTATCCCCATCCCCTCCTACACCCACTCATTGAGAACCTCAGGGTCCCCTGTGAGTCACTGAAGAGGCCAGCAACTCTTCACTTTTTGTGCGAATTAGTCATGCATTTTCCCCGAAGTCAGGTACAATGAAACAAATAAGTCAACAACTCCCATTCTATGGTGGTAAGTTCCGACCTCCCTTTTTCCCCAGGTGATGATTCAGCGACCGGAATAAGTGTTAATCAGCAGGCTTCAAGTTTAGGGTGGTTCGCCTTGGGGGGAGGCACCTGTGCACACTCTTAGCAGGCGCTGATACAAATGACATGATAGGCCACGTTGACGAATCACGGATACGTTTCACTTTTTTAGGTAGGGATTGCTGTCAGTAGAAGTCACTCATCGGTGCTTTTCCGCCATAGGCCTAACTAGGTAGCTGTTCATCGTCTGGCACACTGTGTCCTAAGGCTTCCCTAAATTGATGGTGTCCGATCGCCGAAGCGAGATGTATGTGCAGGCGCTGTGTCTTGCAGTAGGTACAGTAGGTACGCATTCCCTAAGGCTCTTTCTGAAGTTGCCCCAGTCGATTGCTGGAGCTGATCCCATTGAACAACAGTTGTGATAGTCCTGCCCACGTCTCGCGCCGCATAGTATAATAGAACGGTCTCACGATACTGAGAGGTTGCTCTGCTGTGAGTTCGAGTTTAATTCGATTCGTAGCTCTGCGTCGTACTGAGCCGTGTCATTCTCGATTGTTGTGAAGTGGAACATATTGGGACAATTTTATGTCTTGAACGCGGCCTTGGCAGTATGACTGCGTTCATACTTTGCGGCATCGTCCACCACCGTCGAGGCCCACCAGCGTTCCGGGCGTCCGACAGCGTCAGCGACTAGAAAAGTATAGATATCGATCTAGCGCCTGTCAGCGTCCGTCAGCATCTACCAGTGTCCACCAACGTCTCGAGGGCTAGGGAAGTATAGCCATCGATCTAGCGTCTGCCAGCATTCCCCAGCGTCAGCCAACGTCCACCAGCCTCTATCAGCGTCCGGGAAAGGAGAGTATAGCGCGATAGGTGGGTAGCAAACAGCTAGTAGAGGGTAACAGGCTGCTGGTAGAGTACAGCTCGATAGGCGTGTGGCATACAGCTGCGGATTCCGCAGTAGATTGGTCATCGCTGACCACTTTTTCCTTGCACTCGAGTCGTCTCCCGACAGGCACAAGGTTGGGTATGTGACAAGAGAATCGTACTGCGCCTCGCTGATGGGGTGAATCACCGTCACCTCATCAGCGAGGCGCAGTACGATTCTCCCTCGCTGATGGGATGAATCACCGTCATTTGCGACGTCGTGCGCACAAATGACGGTGATTCCAGGTCGTATATGGCGACAACAGGCATTGTGGAACCGAAGGTAGTGTAGATGTCTCTAGTTTCTTATCCACGTGAAATCCGGTGCTCCAATCGCAGGCTAACACGAGTAAAGAAAAAGCCGCGCCCACAGGATAACGTGCAGAAGAATCGTAAGGTGGTGCATTCTTCACGACTCTACAAATCAGGTTGCAACAAAGTTTTGTGACACTTTCGGAATAGCTAGTTATAGCAACCAAAAGCATCCATCGTTCTGGCAGCGCTGGTGGACGATAATAGACGGTGGCCGAGCTAGTATAAGTGCTGGTGAACACTGGGAGACGATCGATAGCTATACTTTCCTAGTCGCTGATGGACGCTGCCGCAAAATTATAATACAGCCTATCGGTGAGGATCGCTATGAGTAGTTATTTCGGAAGTGCCACTAAGCTAGAGACGGCTCTAGTGCAAGAAAAAAGCGCTCAATGATGACCAAACGTTCCGGGATCTGCCACACATTTCACAGCCATTCGTGATTGTGCCGTTATTTTGAAGCCGCTGTGGGTTATGTAAGGAGTAAGCCGGTGTATTCAGAAGTTTTCGTTTGCCCTCAAGAATCGTTGGGTGTTCAGTGATCTCTCCCGGAAAGCGCTTGCTTGGCCTGAGGCAAAATTCGATCCGTACATGAAAGGTTCGGTGCAGTGAGTGCAGCTGGCTGAATAGTCCGTCTGATACACTGTGTCCTTTTGTTTTGTGAATATCTACCCTCCTAATCCACACTATTTTTTAGTTCCTGGGCAAGATAGGTGTGCAGTCAGTCGAATGTGTCGACATCTTCTCCTTTGATGCGGAAATGTTGGAATTCCTACCTGCGCCTCAGTTAGCCGTCATCCTTTGTTTTCCAGAAAGAGATGTTTGTCCATAATTTCAATTTACTTCTAGTACATCAAACTTTTATTCGAATGTCTGTCTGTAGTGAATGTGGTAAGAAAGTGAACGGAAAAGAAAATCCACTAACAAGTACAAGTAACCGCGGTTGTTTTTTGCGTTTTTTCTTTGCAGGGAGCAAAACCACTGGAAAAGGAGTATGAGTCATTGAAAGCATCCGGATTCTGTGCACCTGACAACGTGTTCTTCATGAAGCAAAAAATTGGAAATGCATGTGGCACATTTGCTCTGTTCCATGCCCTCGCAAATCTCGAAGGAGTAGTAGATCTAGGTAATCGTACTTTCACATGGGATTCGATCGCTAGCAGTTAACAGTTTATCGCTACTTGCTGTTTGCAAGTGGCCCGATTACCGCTGGTGCAATTAAATGATTCAGTCTCCCTCAACTTGTTTACGTAGTTTTGATTCGGCAAATACATATGGTGATACTTTTCAGGAAATGGATCCTTCTCTAACTGGCTGAAGAAGGCAAAACTACATTCTGCTGAGGAGAGATCTGATCTGCTCTTACAAAGTGAGCAAACATTTCAACAGCTTCCGTAGTCCGGACTCAAGTTAGGCTGGATACATTGTGAAGAATTTCTGAATGCTTTTAAATTGACGAGATGAATGTAGGATCGAATTCAAAGCCTTGGATGAGGTTATCGTTTGTCGGCCCCCTTAAGGATACGCCGCGCATCCCACTTCTGTTCAGAATCGTGGTGGCATTCCGAGTACAATTCAGCTTATAACGATGCCTTTCGTCGCAGGGGGCCCCGAAAAATTTTGTTTGTTAAATTGACGAGATGAATGTAGGATCGAATTCAAAGCCTTGGATGAGGTTATCGTTTGTCGGCCCCCTTAAGGATACGCCGCGCATCCCACTTCTGTTCAGAATCGTGGTGGCATTCCGAGTACAATTCAGCTTATACGATGCCTTTCGTCCAGCCGATGTTGCAGTTAACAGGTTTTCATCCTCCCTGACCCGTTTGGTACCAATTGATCGCCAAGGGATGGAAGGCTTGCTTGATTTGGAATCGCCAAGGGATGGAAGGCTTGCTTGGTTTGGACAAGGGAACTGGTTTGACCCATTGTCATCTCGGTAAGTAGCCCCTCTCTCCACCCCGCTACACCATTTTCACTAGGAATGAATTCAGTTTGTTCAAAGGCACACCTAATAAGGTGTTCAGACTCCATTTCGGGCTAATCCCGAGGAAGCGGTTTTTACGCATAAAAAACGCTTAGAAAGCGGGTTGCATGCTTATCGTCCAGGGCCTTGCCGGCCTACATTGACTAGTCGTCGTGATAATGCCATGATTTTCTCATCCATCGTTTCCTTCCGCGTTCTTCAGCAAATTGATGCCTCTTTCATTGTTCATCAGATCTTAACGGTCTTATGCTCCGTAATTCTAGATCAGGAGCTATCAACTGCTCATGAGGAGACGGCAAGAGAAGGAGAAACTGACGAGCCAAGCAATGTGGAACACCACTTCATCTGTTATGTGAACAAAGGTGGTGTTCTTTACGAAATAGGTGAGCTACGAGTAGGTATTGAATTACGATTACACGTCTGGTTCCTTTTTACTGCATGTCCCTCACCAATTTCCTCGGTACTGATAACTTCGTTTTGATGTTGGTCTTTCCGAAGAGTGTTCCTCCCAGATTGAAACATTGCAGAGAAACATTGTTAGCGTGACCATAAATGTTCATTGTTCGCAAAATGCTCCCGTGCCTTTGGAATAGGAGAGTCGCGTCATGGTGGGTAAGTGTTTTGGATGTTAGAGGGGCGAACTGGGCAAGCTCTCACGTCGGTAGAGAGGGGTTTGAGGTGAATCGACTTTTTCTTGTGATCTTCGCGTCTCTCTCATGCAATGTCTCTGGAGGTTCAGGCAAAGACAGACAGTGGGAGAGTCCACAAGAAATCGATGCAGCTCTTTCTTCCCTGGCCTTATGACAAGGGAACCCCAACAGGTCGATCCGGCCGTTTACAATGGGATGTATATATATGGACGGGTCTTGAGCCGCTGAATCCAAATCTGTTCTCCGATTTTGCGGAACGATTCTCTGAAGGGAGTTACGGACCATTTAATCTTTGCTGTGTTTGCACAAGCTGACCAGGAAAGGCCAATACGTTAGCTCGGCCATTTGCAACGACATGTACATCATTGTACTCACCTTGACACGGTGAACTCAAGATTATCTTCTAAATTTGCGGAACGATTCTCTGAGCGGAGTTATAGAGGTCTGCTTTTTTTTCCGGGCGCGGTGGCGTCAAAGCGTTAGCACGTGGCAACTCACAGAGCTCTTCACGCGAAACAGGTATCATATTCGTGCTCAGAGGGTCGAATAACCCCTAGAGACGTCACCCTAGCAAAATCCGAGGTTCTAACTCATCTTCGAGAAAATGGGGTATGAATAGCTATGGCTGACTGATAGCCACAGCGATACTACGACTAGCATACGGGTGATGACTGGTCTTCAAACTGAAATACCTATTCATCGTGCCCTTTCGCGAAGACGTTACCCGGCTTACTTATTCATGCCGTCTGCATCAGTTCTCTTTACCACGAGGGAGTTCCATCTCAAGACCATTCATTGATGGCAGATGAGCTCCGCTCTGCTTCTGATTACCCATGGAACAGCACACATTTCCCAAGTTCGGTCGAAATATCAGATTCGGCTAGAAACTTGTCTCCAGGGGCAGTTTGACTCGCTAAACATGAATATGATGGTATTTCACTGCAAAAACCCTGTGACATGCAGTTATACTCATAATAAAAAAGTTTTCAAGAATAACCACATATCGCATATGGTAATCGCCCACCTTCCGTTGACAAATAATCACGAAACCAGGTGAAATGGCCAAACAGAAATTTGGGAGGGCTCATACCAAGTGTTTTGAATGAAAAGCAAAAGGTTACAAGAGCCAAGCATTCCAACTTCGATATCGTGTCTCTGAAGCAATGCACTTATTCACTAGGCCATCGGCGGCTTGCCGCTGCAGTTATCCTTCTTGACTTGTGCAGACGGAGTGAACATTAAATGGTCCGTAACTCCCTTTGGAGATCGTTCCGCAAAATAGAAGGTCAGATTTGGATTCAGCGGCTCAAGACACGTCCATATTTATACATCTCACTGCAAATGGCCGAATCGACCTGTTGGGGTTCCCTTGTGATAGAGGTTGCTGATTTTTCGCGGCTGATTCATCTGTACTGTATCCCCTCCTTCCCCCCGCTCGACAGCAAAATTTTTGGGCAGAAGTAGAAATTTTCTGGACATCACGGAAAAAGTGGTAGTAAGTTGGAGAAAATCTAGGAAAGTGGTCGGTATTATGGGGAAAAAAGGGGAGAGGGTGGTTTTCCTCGGGGTCGCATCAACATCCCAAAAATGCAGGGGGAGGTACGGACTCGACCAAAATCCCCGACTAATGATGTACTCTGCTCCTGCCTACCCCGACCGCCCTAGCTCTCATGTCGAAAACCTCCCCTCCTATCACCAAAGCTCCACAATGGACTTTTTCGGTCGTAGTATTGATGATCCTCGGATGCTCCAACCTACTCGCTATCAGACTGGATTTGTCTATGAATGGGGTACCTGCGAGATAGAACGATACGTTCACTAATCTCTTCATCACACTCCCAGCAGGCATTGATAGCCCCTATAGGATATGCCGCACATTTGGCATACTTTGGTAGTTTAACAGAGCATTTGGCTGCAAGCCTGTGCACTGTCACAGTTGAATATTAAGTATGAACGATCCTCACAGGCATTATACACCTTCCCGCGTCTTGAAGGCGGCGCTTCAATACACCAAAAAGCCACAGCCAAAGAGATCATCATTATAAGGGGTCAAAAAAGAGATACAGTCCTCGTCATTGCGGACTGTCGGAGGTGTCGTGAGCGGCGCGGTTAGAGCCGGCGTGCGGCTGCCTTGCTCTACCGATGGCGATTGGGTAAATCTCAATTTGGGAACAGGGTACAGCATGGGGATGTGCGAAATGGAGGCGTGAGTACGACCCCCCCCCTGGATTTTCGAAAGGCGGACTCTGCTCTAAAATCCAGGCAATAAGAGGATGTTTCAGCCTCATGCAATATGAGGCTAAACAACAGCCTCGCATTTCCTGCAATTTTGTCTTAGGATTCAAAATAAAACTCGTCGTTCGACAACCATGTATGACATGCAACTTGTAACAAGGAACACAATCAAAACAGCGACTAATGGTGATCATTGATAACTAAATTGGTGAAAAAAAATGGTCTCAAGGTCACCGTGTCAGGCCCCAAAGCATTCAATGAATGTTGACGGGAAAATCACGAAGACATGCACGACACAACAAAGAAACATGGAAAATACCAAGAAATGGGGAGCCAAACGAAAAAAATGCATAACCAGGCGGCAGTATATCGTACTATACTTGGCTATTATCGATCGCAACGTTGCGACCGCTTTCATTGGGAAAACGTCATTGGAGCGCGGTTGTTGGGCCTGCCAACGTCCTGGGGTCTTTTCGGAGGGGGGGGGGTGTATCTCTTTGAGGGGCGCGGCTTTTGATGAATGGTTAGCAGCATGCAAACGGGAATGTTCCTATTGTTGCGTTTTCTCCCCAGTTGCAATGTGGATGTTTCCCCGTTCGTGAAATATTTCGGATGGGTTTCGGATCGGCTAGGGGTAAATGGCAAGCGGGTTTTTATGCTTCACACGAGGATTGCTTATTTCGAACGCACTTTCATCAGGATTAGACTCGACTGGGAACCGCCCTGTCTTCTCTCTTTCCAATAAGCTTTACAGTTTTCGTAGACTCGCTAGTTCAAGACATATTTCAGATGAGTCAAAGACGCGCTACCCTCTGACCCACCCGAAAAATGGCACGACTCCTTCTGTGCCATTATGAGGATACCTTCGTAACCTTCGGTATGCCTTCAAAACACATATTTCCCTTCAAATGAGTGAAAGAGGAACTCGGCTGTCACTGATCGATTTGGTCCGAGCATGCGCCGTGCATTACTCTCCTACGCAGAGATGAGGAAAGGCGCAAACTCTGATTTCAGGTGCTTTTGTCCATGCAGGCAGATGTTTGTTTAGGGTTTGGAAAGGACAATACGCACGAATCTGTTTGATACTTATTATATAGTCATCTACGTACTTACGAATTCATGCTACTAACTGATATTTATTTGTTGGTTTATTTATTTATTTACTCTTGCTATTCTTGCTATATTGCTAATAAACTTTTTATTAGCAATATAGCAAGAAGCAAGTTAATGGGGTTTCATTATTTTGTAGTCCTGTTTACATCCGTATCTTCGGCAGCTTTCCGTCCGTTCCATCAAACTTATCACTGACACTTGTACTGTTTGATGCCTAGCGAGCCTACTTTTGCGATACTCCCCACGTCCCCCGCGGCCAATTACGAACCCATTTTTGGGGATTGGCTAATGCCGTTTGGACTCCAAGTATTTCGGCACCGAGCTCATTTTTAAATTGCCTAAGTCACCAAATTTGCTAAAAATTTGTATACAGGGGTAGTTTAACATCCTGATTAAAAATATGTCATTCGCTCTTGTTGCTGGCGCTAATGGATGACACTACGATTATCTGCGCTCTGCCAAGGCTGAGCCTAGGAGGTGATCCTAGTGTCCTCTCTTGACGCCAGCGACAAAAGTGAATGTCACATTCTTAATCAGGATGTTAAACTACCCTATACACAAGTTTTTGGCGGATTTGGTGACTTAGGCAATTTACAAATGGGCTGGGTGCCGAAATTCTTGGAGTCCAAACGGCATTAGCCTTGGGGATTTTGCATGAAAAGAGGGCTCTTGAACGTAGCAGGTAAATCTATAAAGAATACACTAATAATAATTTTCATTTTTTTAACATCTTGACTTCCATAACTCCACTTCCACTATCATCTAAAATGTCAGAGCATTGCCCGGCTCTGAGTGACCCTTGAGATCACGACACCCCCCCCCTCCCCAGCGGCCAAGTACGATCCCCCCCCCTATGGGTTTCGCAGAACAATGCTGTACCCTGTTTGGGAAGGAAACAACCAGTGATGGAAGCCGCAGCTGAGAACCGCAGATTGCGACCCGACGATTACAATGATGTTGAGTGTACCTTCAGGTGCAACGCTATAAGCGGTGATAGACGGCGCCGCACGTTTCTCAATTATCGGTTGCTTCAGTGAGAAGTGGCTGGAGCCACGCTGAACTCAGTTTTCTGACGCGTTCGAGCATCCGCAGCATAAAGCTGTTTCTTCTAAAGCCTCAAACACTCAGTGACCTCCGATTCTCTGTTTTCGTGAGATATTGCAGCCTTCCTAGAGGCGGGTGGTGTAGTGACAAGTGGCGCGCTTACCACTCGCACGGCGCCGGGTTCAAATCCCGGATCGACTCCTGCCTAGGCCAACCAAGCCTTTCATCCTCCGGGGACGGTAACGTGGTACCAGATTCGCCTGGGAGGATAAAACATTGTCTTGTACATCGGTTGGCCACCGCAATTTTGTGTATAGGGCACATCGTATTGAATAAGCCCTCCGATTCTGAATGCAAGTAGATGCGTGCCGCATCCCAATAAGGGATTGATTAAAGGCGAAGCCTTAGCTCTATCCTTTTGTTTGCAGCCTTAGGGAAATTGCAATCATGTCAACAGAATAGACGCGATGGCAATTGTTTCGAGTGGGAAGATCTCACA